ATAGACCTCTCAAAGGCCTTTGACGTCATCAACCACGATATACTGATTAAAAAATTAAATTCACATGGAATAAGAGGAAAAGTAAGTGCATGGTTCAAAAGTTATTTAGAGAACAGAGACCAGTATGTGGCAATAAAAAGTCACTCCTCAACAAAACTTAACGTAAGATCAGGCGTGCCACAAGGATCAATTTTAGGTCCTCTTCTATTCATAATCTTCATGAACGATTTTCAACATGCAACTGATGCAAATCACCTTCTATATGCAGATGACACTAACATCTTCTTCCCAACTAAAGACCCATTGAAAGAAGTAGAATACATCATTAACAGTCTTCAAAATATATCAACCTGGTTTATCAAAAATAAATTAATAGTAAATTATTCTAAATGTAATTACATTCTTTTTGGTCCGAAAATTTTAACAAATATTATACCTAACCTAGACATAAAAATGAACAATATTTCTATTCCTCGCTCAACCAGCACAAAATTCCTTGGAGTAACAATCAAGGACAATCTTTCTTGGGATATTCACATAGATACTATGTCTAAAAGAATATGCAAAACCCTAGGAGTTATAAGCAAAATTAAAAATAAATTAAATAAACCTACTCTAATTGACCTGTATTATTCGTTAATCTTTCCTCACCTCATCTACTGCAACGTAATTTGGGGAAACAGTCCTGACATTCATCTAAAACAATTAACAAAATGCCAAAACCGATTCATCAGAATATTTAAAAATCTTCATCCTCATTGTCACACAAGTGAATATTATCTCGAGATGAAAATACTCAACATCAAAAACTTGTTCATCTACCACGTTGCAACATTCATTTTTAGATTTCTACGTCAGCAATTGCCGGCATTTTTTAGAAACTTTTTCACTTTTGGAACTTCCATTCAAGCAAGAACTACACGCCACACGCCACTTTTCTATGCTCCACCAGCCAGAATTAAAGTACTCTGCATGAGTTTGAAACATACCGGCCCAGGAATATGGAAGACGATTCCACAAGAAATTAAAGATTGTAACACTTTGCATCTTTTTAAAAATAAACTGAAAAATTTTTTAATTACGAAAAGTTCTGTTTTTCAAGGATAATAATGTATATGTATATATATGTATATAAGTGTGTACATATTTATTTTATCAATTTTGACAATTTTATTTTATCATTGAGAAGCTATTTTGAGCTGCACGGTGGCCGAGCCCACAAGAATTAATTTTCTTTTATTGGTCTCCGAATCATTCATGCTTTTGTTTTGTTTGATTGAATAAAAGTGATTTGATTTGATTTGATATATATATATATATATATATATATTTCTTTTTTGACACATCTTGAGAGCGGAAGATATATATATATATATATATATATATGTATATATATATATATATATATATATGTATATATATGTTGGTAATAGACCATAATTTTTACAATATTCTATAAATTCTACCGAATGTTTGGCGTTAATATGTTTGTAGTTCGTTTTTTCGATTTTTCGATTTTTCTCACTAAAGTTTTTTGCTGAACGTTTAGTTTATTAAAATTCAAAATAAACTTATTTATTGACTTTGAATTTCTTCATCGATAGCATCATATTCTTCTTTGTCACTATTTAAAAACTAGCATCGTAAATAGTGACAAAGAAGAATATGATGCTATCGATGAAGAACAGGAGACCAAAGAAGATGACCAGCCAATTAAGAAACCTGACACCTAATTCGCGTCAAAGTTCAATTTTACAACACCAAAGTTAATTTTTACAACGTCAAAGTTAATCTTTATTAATCTAATTAATATTTCCCTATATATACAACAAGGAACACTGACGATGATTCATTCGGAATCGAAATATGGCCTTATTTGCAGCATGAATTCGAAAAATAAGTACTGGATATTAAAAGGATTAATTCACGTCTCATGTGGATCAAGCTGCGCATAGAAAAGCAAACAATGATTATTTTTTCCGCATACGCACAACAGACAGGCAAATCAGAGATGAAAAATGACTTCTGGGCTGCATTCTCTGACACCATCTCAACAATACCAAAATCTAAAACAATCCTGATTGGAGGCGATCTCAAAGAAAGTTGCATACAAGCAATGGCAAAAATCAAAGTCTGTTTATGACTATAAAATTTTTTGTGAGAAGAACAACTAAGACGTCAAGTTGCACTGGCTCGGACAGATCAGTGCAGAGAGTGGCTCACTAAAAGTTAAGGTGAACAAATGAAATCTCTGTATCGTATAGCAAAACAAGCAAAGCGTACGAAAAAAGACATAGTTGGTGCCTCGTGTATCAAAAATGACAAAAATGAGATGGTTCTTGAACAAGATGAGATCAAGCTACAGTGGAGAGAGTACTGCAACCGTCGAAGGTCCGATTCCAGACATCTTTTTAGAGGAGCTTACAGAAGCTCTGAAATCTATGAAGGATGGAAAAGCAACAGGGTCCTCTGGACTCACAAATGATATTATCAAAGCATCTGGTACTGCAGGTATCCAAACGTTACTGCAACTTTGCCTTGAAATATGGAGAAATTGCTCAATGCCGACTGAATGGAACTATAGCATGACAGTCCCGCTATACAAAGGCAAAGGTGATTCATTGGGGTATACGTCTGTTAGAACACTTCCTGAAAATTGTCGAGAGAATCATTGAGAGAAGATTAACGTTGTGCATCACAATCGGAAGTTATCAATGACTGGTTCAATTTAAATCGCTATTTATTATCAATTTGGTTTCCTAGCGGGGAAATCAACAATTTATGCAATTCACATCTTTCAGCAACTGCAAGAGAAGTACCTCGCAAAGCATCAACAACTATCACACATTTTTGTAGACCTTGAAAAACAATTTGATCGAGTTCCTCGTGAAGCAATCAGGTGGAGTCTACGTCGACAACTCATTCCAGAATATCTTGTTCGACTTGTGATGGAAATGTATACGAGTACTAAAACTCTTGTCAGCCCAATGACAACCAAACTGGAACAACAACTTCAACGAACCGACATGAAAATGCTCCGATGGATGCAAAGAATTAGTCTGAAAGACCACATAAAATCTTCCGAAATCCTGCGTCGTGCTGCTTTAGATGATATAAAGGACGAATGCCGGCAACACCATTTGCGGTGGTTTGGTCATGGAAGTGGAAACAGTGCCATAACTTTTCTTGCAGATGTTGAAGTACCTGGCACACGACTCAAAGTCCGTCCAAAGAAGTCCTGGTCGCAAACAATCGAGCAAGACATGAAAGCTCTAAATTTAAATGAAATTGATACAACTGATCGTCTAATTTGGCGCAAAAAGTTGATGGTAAAGGAAACAACGTCCTACCTCGGGTAACCGGGTCTCTGGACGCAACACGAAGATTGATTGATATATATGTATATTTGCAATTATTGATAAGGATTACAGCATGTTCGTCGTTAGTTAACTTCCTGTTTAACTTAACTTTTCGATTTTTCTAATGGTTGATCGTAAATCATTCTTTAGTTTCCTCTGGACTCACAAATGATATTATTCTTTCTGGAGTTTTTCTGGAAATTGTACAATTTATTGAAAATAAAATTTTTTTCAAAATTCATGATTCAAATTTTTTTAAATTAGATTTGTTGTTACCCCGATTCAATCAATCAGTCAATCAATCAATTAGCTTATAAAGCGCTATTTCTGCAATGTTCAACAGCGCTCCTCAATGATATTTGAAAACAGATGGGTCTTGAGATCCGCTCTGAACTTCGCAAGTGATGGAGAGGTAGTCAGAGAAGTAGGTAGAGAGTTCCAGAGAAATGGACCAGAAAAAGCAAAAGCAGATTTGGTAAAAGAGTGTTTAACACGAGTTAAAAAAAAGCGAGAAGAAGAAGACGATCGTAAACCGGGGCGTTAGGTTCAATTATATATCTGATAAATACTTAGGAAATAATTTAGATTGAGACTTGAAACGTGCAAATTTTAAAAATTATTCTATATTTTATAGGTAGCCTGTGCAAGAGAACAAGATATGGAGATATATGAGAAAAGAAAGGGGCACGAGCAACTAGACGAGCAGCAGAGTTAAAAGCTTAAAGGATAGAGTATAGAGTCAGGAAGACCATAGTAGAGCGAGTTACAATAATCAATCTTAGATAAGACTAACGAAGTAACTAGAAGAAGAAGAGTAGGATCATCAAGAAAAGGCAAAAATTTTATTTTTCTAAGTAGATGAAAGGAGAAGAGAAAAGGCAAAAGTTTTTTTATTCTACGTAGATGAAAGTAAGAGCTTCTAGCAACACTATTAATCTAAGAAGAGAGAGACATGGTAGAATCAAAGATAAAACCTAGACTACGAAACTTATGAGACATCAAGAGTTTTAGAATCAGGCAAGATAATAGGAGGAATAGTAATAGAGTGTTTAGATTTATTAAAACAAATTAATTCAAACTTAGAAGGATTAAGTTTAAGACACATAGAGTCAGACCAAGCGATAATTGAAGAAAGACATAGAGATAGATTATGAAGAACACTATTGAGATTAGATGGAGGAAAAGAAGTATAAATGTAAGAATCATCAGCATATAGTTGACTAGAGAAAGAAAAGTTATTAATAATACGAGGTAGTTCAGAAGTATAGAGTATAAATAGAAGAGGTATAGAACCCTGAGGTACTCCGAAATTAAGAGTAGAGGGGTTAGAAGTAAAATTATTGAGAACAACAGAAAAAAAAACGATTACAGAAATAAGAAGAAAACCAAGATAAACAAGAATCAGTAATATTAAAAGAAAGATGTAGCAGTCTCAAGAAAATAGTATGATCAACAGTATCAAAAGCCGAGGAAAAGTCAAGAGCAAGATGAAGAGTAAGATTACTATTGTCACTAGAGAGAAGGGTTTTTTATGAGAGGATTTCTTATGAAAAAGTTTAGATAGAGCAGACCACCTATTTTTAGATGTTGAAGCATATGCTATAGAATTTCTAAGAAAAGTATAGTGTTTAGAGAATTGTGTATTTTGAGTAAAGACGTTCCAGTACTGTGAGCAGGTCTGAAACCAGATTGAGATTCAGGTAGCAAGGAGTTAAAGTTTAAATAGGATGACAGTTGATTAAAAACTACTTTTTCTATTATTTTAGAGATGAAAGTAATATTAGTAACAGGTCTATAATTAGATAAAGAGGTAGGATCTAAGGATGAGTTTTTAAGAATAGGAATAACAATAGAATTCTTATAAGAAGTAGGAAACTTAGAGGTGGAAAGAGATAAATCAACTAATTTGAGAATGATTGGATAAAATATTGAAGAAAATTCTTTAAGTAAATTAGAAAGAAGTAGATCTAGAGAACAGGTTGTGGACGACATAAAATTAATAATTTTAGTTAGTTCTAAAAGATTTATTGGAGTAAATACAGAAAAAGATTCAGTTGTAAGTTTAGTAAAGTTATGAGAAGAAAAATTAGAATTAGATGTTCTTAAAGAAGTAGTTTTATTTATAAAAAAAGTCATGAAATTGTTGAGCAGAAAAAGATGAGTGAGAGGATTTCTTTTGAAGAAGTTTAGATAGAGCAGATGTTATAGAATTTCTAAGAAAAGTAGAGTGTTTAGAGAATAGTAGATATTTATAATTAATCAATTCAGATAGAATAAAAAGAGTTAGATGGATTTAACCTATAGACTTTCTCCAGTCTTCTAACATTTTTCTTGGCTACTACACAAGCATAATCAAAACAAGGAGCCTTACGAGATAGAGCTTATAAGTAAAAGATTTAAGAGCTTATCAAGAATAGATGTAATATAGATATTAAAAGCATAGACAAAATCATCAACATCAGAAAATAAGGTAGTATCAAAAATAGTTTCAGTAAGAGATTGAAGAAAAATATCTTTATCTATATTTTCTATTGCGTTGTCTCGCGACTGCGTGTTTTAGCGGAGCTCTATCTTTTTTCGATAATTTGTGTTGTTAGAGGTCGTTGTTTCACGAGTTTTTTCTCGGAGGTGGTGTTACTGGTCTTGGCGACACAGCGGACTATCGGTTGGTGAAATTTATTGTGGTTTTCGGTGGTTTTTGGAATGGTTTTTAACGGTGTTTAGAGTGTGTTGTGTGTTTCACCTGCAATTCTACACATAGACTACTTTCCTCAGCCAATCAAATGTCAGCTGCGAATTGACCTAATAAATCCTTATCAATGAACGTAAAGCACATGTTCTACAATCGCCTTCCTTAACCAATCAGCTTTCAGTTGTAATTAACCTAGCTTCGCCTGTCAACACTTACAACATTCTTTCTCAAATGTAATAGCTATCGACATTATTAAGTACATAGTGCGGTCTTTCACCTATCAACATTGTTAACTAGTCAAATCTGGTACATCTGGTCCGTTACAACTAAATTATTCAATCTAGAACAAATTTATTTTTTTCAACCGTTTCTTCAACTTTCAATCGAACAACAATTGTCGACGATCTCTTCTCTGCCACCGTCAGCTACGTCACGGCTTTTGACAATCGGCATAAACATCAATCAAACAACAATTGCCACAACTGGAAAACTGGTTCGTTACCAGTCACGATGATGTCAACATCGGTCGGAAAATCCAAGTTGTGAACGTGCTGTTGTTGTCGACTATCCCATTAATTATTGTTCTATTCTTTTATCTTAACATCAATCACACAATTGCATATATATCTTTAATTTTCTCTTTGTAGATGACATTTGCATACACAACCACGCAGCTGCTTTCACTGGCGCCTGCAGCCATCTCGCGACCTATTCCTAGACCCGCTAGAATAATTTTGTTCCGGTTGAGGATCTGGAGGCCTCGGAAGGGTCGTATCAGGCTTAAGCACTCGTTGTCTGCAGTAGATGGATCTCATAAAAATTCTACAAAAACAATTCTGGGTCTTCTGAATGCTCGTTCGGCATTGACATACTGGCACTCACGGAGATTTGGATCTCATCTGACGCACCCAATGCAGTGAGGCTGGATATTGCCTCATCTGGTTTTCCTGTGGCACATTATCATAGGCCTGATCGGCGTGGTGGTGGCATCTCTGTTGTATACCGGGCGACATTTCGACATTCAGCGCTAGATTTTGGTATTTTCGCAACGTTCGAGCTGCTTGTCACCAAGCTCTTGTGCCCTGAGTCGGCTATTATTCTCGCCGTTCTTTATCGCCCTCCTGGTCCTGCTGTAGAATTCGTTTTTTGAGGAACTGGAGACTTTGATAAATTACTTACATTTATCTTCCTTTATAATTTGTGGCTACCAACTGTCCTGGTAGCAAGCGTCTCTCCTCTCTTCTGGAAGAAAATAACATCTCAACACGTAAGCTTTCCAACACACCGGTGTGGTAATACTCTTGATCTAATCATCACCTCGACTTCGTTTTTTGACAGCATAAAAGATGTGAGATCCTCAGATGTCACCTACTCTGACCATAAAATCATTCTTGTGGACATATGTACATTCAGTACCCCGCCCCTAGTTGAAACTCGTACATATAGGCCTATACATCGCATTAACCTAAACAGATTTCAATCTGACTTAATAGCTGTTGTCGATTCTCTGCTCTCTGCTTCACTGGATCCTGATATGCTGGCTTCAGCCCTTGATCGGAATTTGCACAGTTTGCTGGATCGACACGCTCCACTAAAAACTATTACCATCAGGCGTGGCCAAAAATATATCTTCACCCTTTCTGATGAGGCACGTCAGGCAAAGAGAGATTGTAGACGCCTAGAAAGAAAATTGCGGCTGGATCCTCGTCACGCGGTAAAACATGCTTACAGGGTTGCAAAAAACGTAACTAAAACCGCCATCCTCAAATATAGAGCGGACTGTATAAGCTCTGAATTGGGTAAATCAAATTCAAATCCTCGTTTCCTGTGGCGCTTGGCTAACAAAGTTCTTCACAGCCACCCTGTCCATCTCTATAATGATGCAGATTGCAAGAGGCTGGTTAATTCCTTTAAAACACATTTTTTCAGGAAAAAATAAAAAAAATATATCTCTCAATATCCACCGCTATCTCTAAATCCACTTCTGTCACTTTCCCTGCTCGTCCATATAAAGGCGACATTTTTCTTCAATTTGCTGATACTGATTGTGATGAGATGACTAAACTCATTGCCTCTCTACCAAACAAAACATCACCCATTGATCCTATTCCAACCTCAATGCTAAAGCAATTCTCGTCAATCTTAGCACCTATTCTGGTCAAGCTGACTAACTCTGTCTTCAGCACTACTGAAAAAACAATCCTTGGATCCTGATGATCCGTTAAATTACCACCCTATATCAAACTTATCAACATTTTCAAAGCTACTTGAGCGCGTCATATTGCTAAGACTACGTGCCCACCTAATGTCAAATCATAACTATCCAAATCTTCAATCTGCTTATCGTTCTCATCATTCCACTGAGACTGCATTGCTACACATTGCTGATGATATTTTTAATGAGGCCTGCAACCGAAAGGTAATCATTGCAGTTGGGCTCGACTTGTCCGCTGCCTTTGATACCATCAGTCACTCGGTTCTTTTCGAACGCCTACAACGAGAGTTTGAGGTGGATGGTCATGCACTATCACTGATTAGATTTTACCTGAGCTGCAGACAGCAGTTTGTGAAGCTGGGAAACCATAATTCCTCTACCTGCTTGATCGACACTGGAGTCCCTCAGGGTTTCGTCCTCGGTCCAATCTTGTTCACTACCTATGTGTCTCCTGTTAGCGACATTTTTAGTAAAAATGGATTATTTTCTCATCACTACGCCGATGACACTCATCTGCATACATCTGTCACTTCTGGCGATCAGCATTCGAGTTTTAAGCAATTGTACTAGCAAGGTTTATCGGTGGTATGCTAATAATTTTTTTTTCTCAACCCTAACAAATCTAAAATTACGGTCATTGGGACACATCAACAACTGTCGAGGTTTCTGCTCGAAGAAATGGACATTGCCGGGTCCACATTGCCTATCTCAGATGCGATCAAGTTGCTTGGGGTCACTTTTGACAGACATCTAAATTTTGATAAAAACATATCAGAAATCGTCAGATCCTGCAACTATCACCTCTGCGCAATAAGACATATTAGACATATGATTACATGTGATGTTGCCGCTGCCCTTTGCAGATGTTTGATGCTTTCTAGATTAGACTACTGCAACTCCTTATTGCTTATTGTATGGGGCCTCACGTGCATCTGTCAGAAAGCTACAGACTATCCAAAATAAAACTGCTAGACTGATATTTAATAAATCTCCTCGTTTTAGTCCTTCCATTCTCTTTCCAATGCTTCATTGGCTTCCAATTTCCGCTCGAATCATCTTCAAAATTGCAGTCCTTACCTTCAAAACCCTTTTATTAAAATCCCCAACATATCTATACGACCTCATATCCAGACATGAGCATACTAGATCACTCCGCAGCAGCTCAACAGGTTTCCTAAACATTCCCGTTGCCGGATCCCGCCTGGCTAGCCGCGGTTTTCGTCACGCTCTTCCGTATGTCTGGAATGCGTTACCTCCTGAGTTAAGACAATGTTCCTCGTTGAGTCTTTTCAAAAAGGGATTAAAGACTCATCTTTTTAACACGGGCTCCGGGCGCCTCTGAAGCAGCTGTGCGAATGGGCGCTTCATAAATGTTTATATTATTATTAAGAGAAGACCAGCATCTTTTAGAAATAGACAGATGAATTTGAAGGAAGAAAATCTAATGAAAAAACAGATTTAATAAGAAGGTGATCAGAATAAGGAACAGAGCTAGCAGAGATATTAATAGGCTTAGGAAAAGATGAAGCTATAATAAAATCAATAGCGTTACCAGAAGTATGGGTAGGAAAAGAAAAATATTGTGTTAAGTTAAAAAGAGACAAAATATCATTAAATTTACGAGTGTAAGAACATGATAGATTATTGAAGTGCAAGTTGAAGTCATCAGAGAAAGGAATAGAAAAAGAGTAGAGAGATTCAGCGAGTGAGTAGAATTCATCTAAAAATAAAGGGAGAGAAGAAGGAGGGCGATAGATTACAGCAATATAAAAAAGTGGAGAAGAAAACTTAAGAGATTCAACAAGACATTCAAAAGAAGAAAAATTAAAGGAAGCATTAATGGAAGCAGTAAATAGAGATTTATAAAATAGACAGATACCCCCATAAGAAGAATGAGAAGATGATAGAAGGTTTTTTGGAGATCTAGAGAGTTCAAGGAAACTGTAACCATCAGGAGTAGCAAGAATAAGAGAGGGAGAGTTAGAGTCCTCGTGCCAAGTTTCAGTAAGAGTAAAAAAATCAAGTAACTGAAAGGAGTGTTAGAGAGGCTTAAGAAAAAGTCTCTAGAATATGACGTAATAATATTTACAAGTTATAGAAAAAGATATAGAAAGATATAGAAAAAAATAGTAATAGTAAAAAAGAAGAGAACTCAATCGTTCAGAAGCAAAAAACAAGACTCCACCCAAATTACAAAACCACCGAGAAAACGTGCCGCCATCACGCTAAACGCAAAACCACATTCATTCATTCATCCTGTAGATACGCCCTATTCTGATTTTTACTAATTTTCAGTGCATTTTTGGTTTATACAGCTGTTGAGTAAACTCTGTTGAACTCCCTTCGATCTACCATTAGGCAAATACCGGTGCTTACCCTCTCGCCAAATATTTAAACAAAATTTTACCCCATATGCTCCAAATAATTTACACTCCAGTTTACTCGTGAATTTATCAATCTTTTGGACACTAACAAACAAATCATCTTACTTCTCTATATGTCGAATCCTTATTTTTAAATGTTCTACCGCAAATTTCTTTTTTGAGACATCTTGAGAGCGAAACGTTCAGAGACATACCTGAATAAGAATCAAAATTTATGCCAGGTATGTTCGTCGCCCACGATGATTCGGGCCTGATTAAATTTAATAAGTGTATAGATATAATTTTCCAATTTATATATTTATTTCTATATAATAATGGTAATAATTTACTTAGTTTCAAAAAGTTTTGTTTTTAAATCCGAATCGAATAAATTTATTTATATATTTGGAAATACCGTAAATCAGAAAAAAATTGAAGAGGTAAAAAGAGCAAAGTAATATAGGATAAAGCTTGATGCATCTCACCAACACCAATTAAGCCAAGGTTATGACAATGTTTCAGTAATGTTTCAGTAATGTCAGGTGTTCATTCTGGAGTACAAGCCAGGATCCATCAAATTAATCAGAATATTTTATTTGCACCTTGTTATAATCATTTGCTTAATTTAAGTGGGGTTAACACGTCTGAAAGCAATTAAACCAAGGCAACGTTTTTTGGAATAAATGATAGCATTTAAAACATCTTTTCTTCATCAACTCATAGACTTGATATTTTGTCAGAAGCAATCAGGATGAATGCGAAAAGGCTAGCAGGAACCTGGTAAGTGAGCAATATCATGCAGTGAAAATTGTAATGAGCAATATGCTCACTTAGTTGAAATTGGTAGAGGCACTAGAAAAATTATGTGATACATTAGAAAATTTAAATACAAAAGTTCAGCTCAAATTTTAATGAAAAATAAATTTTCAAGATTTTAATTTTCTTACTTATCTTCATTTCTTTCTTATCTTCATTTTTCAAAAATACCAACAAATAGAGGAATTGGTTTAAATAAAACCAATGAAAAATTAGATGCTTTGAAACTTTTCCTGCAAGGATCGTCGCGATAAAATGGTTAAAAAGGCATAGAAATTTTTTACAGAAGTTTGTGAAGAAATGGAAATACCCATGAAAAAATTGAACCAAAAAAAGTCTAAGAAAGCCAGGTGATGATGAAACTTTGACATTGAAGCAAGAATTGAGACGAAATATGATTTCAGTCACTTCATAATTTTTTTCAAGATCATAGGAAAAAGAGAGAATCAATGCCAAATGTGTATGTAAAATTTGTAGCCATTCATTCATCACATTTTATTGGATTAGAGATAGATGAACTTTCAAAAGCTGATGCCAAATTTTACAATTACGTTTGATGAACTATAAGAAAATGAAGAATTACCAGAAATTAAATGTTAATGCTATAATGTGTTTTCAACTGATATGATTGCTAAACCATTTTGCTTGGTTCATTATAGAATTCATTTATAACCTCTCGGCTTCGATTTATAAAAGCTCCTTTCGCAAGAAGAAATTGAAAGGTCGCTGACAAATATATCTCGTTTG